TAAGTGGAACTAAACACTTTCGAAAAAAACCAGGAATCAATAAGAAAATAGTCAATTCTACTGAAACTACCATGGACAGGGGAGAAGAAGGAGTATTGCTTTTCTAATGTTGGTGCATCCAAATGTCAACCAAGTCCAAAGATTTAGTAAGAGTATTGAGTACAGAAACAGCTCTCAAAGTTGGGGCCAGGGACGCAGAGGACCTATCCAACAGTGGATCAAAATAACAATTTAAATCACCACCGATAATGATATTATGGTTATTGTATTGTGAAACCAGATTGAATATTTTACTAAAGAAGTCAGAGTTATCAAAATTAGGGGCTTAGATGTTCAAGACGACTACAGGGATGGAGTTGATTGTACCTGTAACAAGTATGAACCTCCCACCTGGATCACATGTCAGATTTTTGAATATAAAAGGAATAGTTCTGCGAACAAGAATGGCAACCCCTCTCGCCCTGGAAGAAAAGGTGGACTGGTACACCTGTGACACCCATACCAATCTTAATAGCCTCTGGTCTGGAGGTTGGATATGGGTCTCCTGTAAAAAAAAATTATATCAGAAGACAAAGATTTTAAATGCAAAAATACTTTACCATGTTTAACAGCTTTGCCCATACCCCGACAATTCCAGGTCGTAAAAGTGATGTGGCTCATCCCCAGATTAAGTGAGTAGATGTCTTATGACAGTGTGGAAGGAGAAAATGGAGGCTTTGACATTTGGCAAATAAAGAGCTGGCACTTGCATCAAAAAAAGCAAACGACACATAATTAGAAACATGTAGACACAGCCGGGAACCAGGGCCAGCCTGACTGAACGCTAATACGCTAAAAAATAAATAAATAAAAATACCATAGAGCCCCATGCACCCCACATATAATCTATTTAACAAACATAAAAAAACAAAATTGTGCACAAAGTGTGAAAGATCCTACCCAAATATCTAGACGGATATAAAACCTTTTAACCGGTGCAACAAAACTGCAAATATGCAGAAATGAGACGGAGCATACAGCAACATGTGCATATTCCCAACATCACACAAAATACTGTAGAAGCGGAACCCAATAGGCAAAATAGGCACTATATACCGTTTCAGTGCGGGAAAGACATGTACTCTACAGTATGTAAATCACAGCATGTGCACCATCAAACCTTTATATTGCGCATTAATCAACTGAGGACAAAGACGTTGGATCAAAACATTCAACATAAGTGGGTAGAGAACATTACAACAGAAAATGCGCAACGTATGTAAATATGTCGTGAAATTAGCAAGTCACTTATGAATTAGTATTCATTGGCAGAGCCTAAGGAGTCAGCAAACCGTGCAGCTTCCTCCGGGGACATAAAAGTCTTCGATGTGTTGTTATATTCGACTTGGAGCTTTGCGGGAAAGCGAAGAGAGCACTTAGCACCGGCGTTGGTCAGCCGCTTCCTTACAACAGCAAAGGCCTTCCGCTGCGCCGAGACCTCCGCCGTGTAGTCAGGGAAAATGGAGACCCTATCACTGCGGTAGAGCAGAGGAGACCGCTGCCTGCTGAGTCGTAATATGTCAAACACATCCCGATCGTTGTGGACTTTAGCAATGATGACACGTAGCCGTTCATTGGGCTGTGGCTTTGGTCTCAGGCTACGGTGGGCTCAGTCTATTTTTATCGGCCTGCTGAAGTTCTCATGACCCAAAAGCTCTGGAAGTAGCTTAGGAACGAAGTCGGTTGGTTGCCTTTCTCATCCCCTTCCTTAACTCCCACAATCCTCACGCTGAGTCGGTGAGAGCGCCCCTCCAGATCGTTGACTTTAGCGTTAAGGAGAGTGTTAGACACTTGTAGCTCTTTGCACGATGCTTCAAGCGTTACTAATCTGCTATCATTAGCGGACATAGCTTCATCAAGGTCTTCAAACCGGCGCTCAGACTCATGATATTTCTTCTGGAGAGAAGTTAGCATTGCATCAATTGCATCGAGACGGGCCTCAACCGACTTCTTTAACCCGTCCATGAGTGAGGTTATTTTGGAAAGCTCAGCTCCATGCTTAGCGATAGCCGCTAATATGGCATCATTACCGGCCGCCGACTGGCTCGTCTTGGACGTATCCCTCTGGCTCTCATCTTTCTTCTGCACGATGACAAAAGATCAGCTCCGACAGTCCACGAAACAAATTTTAAAACCACCCAGCTAGGAATAAACTTAAAGTGCAACTTTATGAGTGAGATGGCACAGGGAACTCAGAAAACACGTCTACTCCATAGCCGCACCCTCCCCCCCTCCCCCCCTCCCCCACCCCCGTACCCAAATTTGTAATCATCAAATTGGTAAAACTATCTGCAAGTTGGATGAACACAGCATTGCATGATGTTTTTTTATCATCATTCCTTACCATTTTTGCTGAAATGTGTTGTTCTAATGTTTTTCTCTTTTAGAAATGTTCAGTTAAAGCTCACAGATGTGAAGAGAAGTCATGTTGGTAAAACTCTGGAGCAAAACTACACATTTTTCAAATAATGGCTGTTCAAATGTATCCTAGTAATATTTGAAGATCAATGCCAAATTGCACTAATAATCACATCTGATAACAAATAAGATTTGTCTGAACTCCGAACAGAGCTGAAGGACTTTCCAACCTCACACCCACTTTCACACTAAGGAATGTTTAAAGGGAGCCACAAGTTTGTTTAAATAAAGACTGAATGTTAGATAAAAACATTGATAACTTTCTCTTAGTGCATTAAAGTTGAAGTTACAGGCAGCAGACCATCACTTTAACCTTCCAATAAGACTGAAACGGATACGTTTACCTAAACGTGTCAAACATTTCCTCTGAAGCTCACTGTGGAGTTCACAGGCTGCTAGAATGTCAGAGGTAAAGTACACAACTCAGAACTGTTATAATAGACAAACATATTTCATATTACACTCTGTGGTTTCCTTTAGTCTGTACTAACAAGTGTTTATATAAACCTTAAAATAAGTGAGACTGCTGTGATCACAGTTTGAAATGAGCAGTTTGTTTCTTCACGGCTTTACACTGAAGTAACATTCAATTCATATCTGAGCAACAAGAGCAGATCTGTCTAACTTCTGTTAGTCAGGATTCTGTGAATAAATGCAGCAGCACAGCCAATATTTGTGTCTTTGATACCAGAGAAATACAAATAAATGAGTCTAAGCACACTGTGAATGTGCTGCAGATGCCTGTATAATAAAGAATGATGTTTTGGGTTCAGCAGGCTGCCTCTCATGCACTGGGGGCCATTTACCTAGCGGTATAGTTTATTAGCCAAAACTAAATGCAAGTTTTAAATTAACAAAAAAATTGCCAATAAATTCATAAGTCATCATTTTTACATCCTTAAAAGCAATAAAAAAATCTGAATAAACAAACAAACAAAAAAAAAAGGTAGAATTTTCTCACTTTACCTTAAAGTTAAATTTACATTATTAAAATTACATTAGTTATAATAGATCTATAGTTAATACAAAACATGTACATGCTGTTCTTGCACTAAATTCCTCTTCGCCCACTCAGGCTGCTATAAGGTGACAAGCTCCGATATCTGGGAGGGGCTCATAGTAGAGCAGTAGCTCTCCTAGGTCAGAGGGGATTCTATGCTAATTTCCCCATATGTGACATCACAAACAGGGACTATTTGAAAAAAAATGCTTGTTTTAGGCTCACAATTTACAATGACAGGAAATAGACAGAAAATAGGCAGAAATGACTGCATGGTAGCACAGTGGTTAGCACTGTTGCCTCGCAGCACAAAGTTCGCAGGATCGAAACTCGGCTGCAGCGTTTCTGTGTGGAGTTGCGTGTTCTCCCCATGCATGCGTGGGTTTCCTCCGGGTACCCCGGTTTCCCCCACAGATCACAACATGCCCTATAGGTTACAGGTTATAAATTATAAGTCGCTTTGGTTAAAAGCATCTGCTAAATAAATAAACACAAAAATAAACACAAACACAGATGAACTCAACCCCCACCACCCCACCTCACACACATTTGGAGTGTTTATAGAAGCAGTAGAGACCCACATGGCAGCACAAAAAATTACAAAAGTTAAAAATACTGAAAAAATACAACTTTAAATCTAAACTTACACAAAATGAGCAATAAAGGCACACACCTTTCATTCTACATCTGTTAAAATACCACTACAATCATGTTCAGCTTTCAAAGAGAAGTGGCATAAGTCCACAAAGAGGAAAACCTCAGTAACTCGATGCAGAATCGATAGCCAAGTTGACCGCCCTTGGTAAATCAAATCAAGACAAACAGAGAGGTCTTTAACAGTATAAGCAGGCAGCCCGAGGTGGTCTTTAAGGTCCATGTTGTCTGTTCGGCCATCACTCTACCTGTGTTTGAGAGCTTAATTCAATAAGCAGCTTGACTCGAGACAAATTTGATTTCACCGGAGGGAAACGACCACGAGTGGAGGTGAGATTTAACGACAGACTGCTGTGTGTCAGTAGCAGGAGAAGAGAGGGGTCACACACACACACACACACACACACACACACACACACACACACACACACACACACACACACACACACACACACACACACACACACACACACACACACACACACACAACATGTTGTAACAGAATTTCAACGACTTGGTAACAAAAAAGAGTAAAGTTTAAGAATAGACATTAAAAAGACAAAATACACAAAAATCTGACTGTGACAGGTTGCTTAGAGGGCATGGATCTCGAGTTAAAGACTCTAACAAAAAATATTCTAAAAGAACATAAATAATGCATGGGCTATCACTGCAAGTCTGAGCTCTGAAAAAGCTCCTTCAGCTGAACATTAAATGGTAAAAACAGATAAATGACAACAAAAAATGATTTAGTGGGATCAAAAAGAAAATGTGAAAAAAGTGGTTAGACAAGATCTAAAACTTGGAAAGGAGAAGAAAAATATCAAAGGTAGGTAGGTCATAAAACCGCGTGTTTTGTGTTGGTGTAACTACAAAGTAAAGGTGTTACCTGGTTCCAGGTCTGAGGAAGGAGCAGGTGCTCCCTCTGGTCCAGCCGCAGTACGGGTCCCTGGAGGCGATGCAGTTCCTAAAGGAACAAGGACAAAATAAAGTAAATGAACTTGATGTGACTTGGTCTAATTTAACATATTGCTGGAGTGTTTACACTTTATGTAAATCAGGAGCTTTAAAATAAAGTCAAATAATGGGAATAAAAGTAAAATATCCCTGCAAACTTATTATCTAGGCTAGGGAACAAATTATTTCAAAAGTCTACAAAGGAAGTGCAAAGCCAAGTAGAACCGTGTTGTCTAGCTCCATTCATTTGCAATTTTTTTTTAATTTATCCAACGTATTTAAACTTTAATGTAACTAATTGGTCAATCAAACCACATCAAAGCAGAGTGAGTGTTACCTGGCTGAAAGGGCATTTTAGCACGATTATATAAAGCGTTTCCTCTAAAATCAGAAAAATCTCACAGCGATCGGACTCATTTTAAGGTTTATATAAGCACTCACTAGTACAGCATCTACATACTACAGCTGTCTGTGTTGATGTTGTGAGGTTACCAAGATTATATTAGAAAAAATGACATTTATTAAATAAAAACTCTGTAAGAGCCACAACTCTGTATGTTGGTATAAAGTTTGTACTTATTGACATTTAATCATGTGTACATGCCTGTCAGATTTAGGGTTGGGGGGGGCCCTGGCTTGTCTTGGTCACAGGGAAGGGGGTCCTCGTGAAAAAAGTTTTAATGAATGCCATTTAATAAAGAAAAACATCAGATTTAAAAAAAACGAAATTAAAACGCTTATTAAAGCCTTGGGACCCAATCACAGGTACCAACAGAACATAAACTCAATTCTTGCTTCAAGAGTAAAAACAGGAGTTTGAGTGTTTTTGCTTCTGGACTAACACATGATTCGATTCAACAACCTCAGCTTGCCTTTTCCAGACTTTCCTGCTTTAAGTCCCCTAAACTTTACAAACCATGAAGTAATGCAGGTTTTAATTTGATGCATTTCTTCTGCAGTCTTTCAGAAACGTGTCATTAGTTTGTGCCTTATGTGGTTTGTGGTCAGAGTTTAACATTTACAAAACACGATCCATAAATTAGATTTGGCTTTTTTCTAATCCACATTAACACCAAGTCTAATGAATAACAAACACCACAATGTCCTTGGCTAAGAAAACATAAATGAAAATCTTTCCTGCACACAACTGCCATTTCTGTACAAGGATTATTACAAAACCACTTGAAGTGGTGGAGTGAAAAACACAAATTATTATTGAAAAAGGGAAATTTGCTGGAGTAATGCAGAGACTTTTTATTTCATTTCTGGCCTTGGAAAAATTTAAAACCTCTAAATCATATTGAATTTTTAACGCTGGGAGGACAAATGAGGTTAACAGTTTAGCCTGTGTGTTGTGTAAACACAAGAATCGTTACGTATTCCTATAAAACAGTGAATCAATAGGACATTAATGCAAAATAAACACACAAAAAACAAACCTTGACGTCTCCTTTAATCACATTGAAAACATATTCAAAAGGCCCACCATCACCCACTGAAGACTGAAAACACAAACCTGAAGCTGCTGAAGCGTGACTAAGAATTCTTGAACCCAAATTAACCGTGATGCCCAAATCTAAACATGTAAGCACACACACGCTCTAAACAGACCTCGGGGATCATGTGAGTGGTTTCCTAATGTGGTCTGGATTACACGCTTGTATGACTCACCTGGCTGAGTGAACACACTGACTGCACGCCTCTCGAGCTGCTGGTGTGTGTGTGCAGGTTTGTGTGTGTGTCAGCGGACCCAAACGGGACACGGCTACACGTGTCAGAACCAGAGTCAGGATGGAATTAAGTGTGACTAAGAAGCTGACAGCAGCCGTACCTACAAACATCTTTGGTTTTAATTATGATTTATTTAATAATCTGCAGCATTTACAGGACAACCTTTTGCATATTATGGTGTGTTCCAACTGTAGGGGTTCTGGAGGGAGGGAGGGAGAGAGAGAGAGAGAGAGGGAGAGAGAGAGAGAGACAGAGAGACAGAGAGAGAGAGAGAGAGAGAGAGAGAGAGAGAGAGAGAGAGAGAGAGAGAGAGAGAGAGAGAGAGAGAGAGAGAGAGAGAGAGAGAGAGAGAGAGAGAGAGAAATGGCTTCCATAAACATTAATACCATTAGAAGTTTTATTTGCTCAGATTACATCATAATTTAATCCATTCTGAGGAACGGGAGTGGCTGTGTGTTGTAAAAAGCAGCGTTAAAATGACCAGAAGAATTCTGTAGAAAACCGTTGTGGGTGGGGTTTCCGCTGCATGTTCCTGTGTTGGAGTTTAGAAATGAAGATTTTAAGGCAGCTTCAATGCTGCTTATATTATTTTCCTTCTATTCTGCTTCATCAGCAATTCCTCCAAGTTAACAAATGCAGGTTGTTTGGAGACTTTCACCGGCATCGTTTCCTACTGAGTTACAACCAATCAGCATGACTTCAACACTTAGTCCTACACAACAACTCTACTGGGCCTTTCCAAGTACCTACCCCAGTTCAGGCACTCTGTTGGATCCAGAAACGGCTTGTTTAGTGCATTCCACAAAGGTCCGGTAAAATTATACACAAGTTCCAATAGTGGAAGTGGTTTTTTTTAGTCTCCGAAGTGGCAGTCCGGTAAGAAAGTTACTCAAGGTAAAATCCGTTTACATTTGAACTACAAATGAAAACATTGAACATGTTTAAACCCAGTTGTAACGGTCAAACTGATGTTAGCCAAGACTGGAAAAAGTAAACACTGCCAGCACAAAGAGAACCCAGAAATGTTTTGTCAAAAGCAATCTTAGTCCCTTCTGAGATGAACAGATCACAAGACTACTTCTAAACTTGATCACGCATTCTGAGTAGCCAAGACACTGCTGTCTTTCGGTTAAGACCAGTTGGTGTATTCCATTTTGAAGAGATTATTGATAAATTAACACAATACAAGCCCAAAGAAAGTTATCTAGCCAGAAACTTCTCCTTCAATCCAGCTGCTCATTAATGGTATGGTTCATGCTGCTTTTGGCGCAGGCTTACTTCATGCATCTGGAGTAGAGCTGGCATCGTGCCACTAGTACGCGGACAATGCAGGAAGGGAAGGCGAGGAGTAAAGTGTGGCTCGCCCGGTCCAGCGTCAGAGACAGCAGCTGCCGGGCCTGCAGAGAGTCATCAGCACACCTGCAACACAAAAACACACACACGCACACAACTAAAATCCCAGCATTAGGCAGTTCTGATCACAAGCCTGAGACTGCATTTAAACCCCCGACCTCCCGCTGAGTGTAACAGTGTGATTTGAGTGTGAAACACAACCAAACATAAAAGCTTTATGAATAAAAAACATTAAAAAAGCGAGAGCCTGATGTCAAAGTGTCAACACAAATATACAGTGCTGATTGTAGGAGTCCAAGAGGTCGGACGGCCATCACAAACAGCGGCCAGGAACCAAATCACTTCCATTTGGCACTTGGAGCTAAAATAGCTGGCGACAACCTTCCTGCATGCAGCAGATTTAGACCTCCTTCTGCACATGTGCACTCATGCATTAGCTGTATCTGGATGGTTTATGGTAATAACATTACAGGAGACCCACAGTCATTAAAAATAATTTATCATTCTGCTACGGCCGAGCTCTGAAGCATTCTTCACAGCCTGCATCATGAAAAGTGGGGGATCAGAGGAAGGGACTTATGGAGGGTAAAATAATAATTATAATAATAAAGTGAGGAAGAAAAGAAAATTAAAGAGCACAATGAGGCAGGTGAAGAAAAAGGAAGGCGCACATCTGCTCAGGTTGGTTCTACTTTCATTATAAAGAGAACATGTCTTGGTTTCCATTTGTGCTAAATTCTGTGTTAGCAGCTCGTTTTGGAGTCTAATTGTCATGTTCTGTGTCCCCCCATCCCCAGCCTCCTCCTGTTCTCACTCCAGGTTCTCCTCTTGTGTCCCATCATTATCCCCAGCCCTCTCTAGACTTCCCTCAGGTGTCCTCCTAATCACTCCCTGATAATTCCTAGTCAATCTTATTTTAGTCCTCCTCATCCATCTAGTTGTTACTTGTTTATTTTGGCCCTCAGTCTTTAGGTTTAGTTTTATCCGTGTTTTATAGGTTAAGGTTTATCTGCCATCCTGCTTCTTTCTTTCCCCTCATTTAGGTTATTGTATGCACCTGCCTTCCCTCCAGATCTCACTCCTCACACCTGTCACCTGTTCCCCTGATCACCTCCCTCTGTGTTTAAAACCCCTGTCGTGTTTGTCGGTCCATCATTGTGTCTACGTTGTTCTGTTTCTTCCCGAGTTTTGCCCGAGTCTGCGCTCAGTTGGGAGCTTCTGTTTTGTTTTTGGATCGCTGGATCAAGCCTCCCCCTTTAAATAAAGGATTTACTTATTTACATCTGCTCCTGTCTCGTGTGTTCTGCGTTTTTGGGTCCGAACCTCCTGCTCAGCGTGACACTAATCTGGGGTTTTAGAAAAATAAATGTTCATTGTGCGGGAGAAAGGTGGAGGTGAGGGTTTGCATGGCGATGGCTGTGCTCTGTGTCCTGATTAGACAGGACCCCGCCGCGATAGCTGGCCCATCAGCCAACCCCCCGGTGAGCTCACCGTGCACACCAAAATTACTCTTAAAAAACTGGCTCCAGTCTGCACCAGCGTATTCATCACACCATCCCCTCATTTTCAATCATTTTCCCTCATTTTGTCAAATTTGTGACTGAAATGGCTGATATTTCAGAGAAGTCGGACAAAAAAAACACTTGCAGCAGATTCAAGAAATTACATATAGATTCTACTTATTGCTACAAAAAGGTCTGTAAATCGATGAGTGCCATTATCACAACAGAAACTGTTTAGAAACATCTACTTTCTTTTTAAATGCCTCTAATTAGCCTTAGTGGAAGATAATCACCATCCCAAGCTGCCTGCATCTGTGTGACAGTTATCTTCCCTCCACACTGCAGTCACAATCCACCATGTGGAACGCTACATTTCCGCAAAGAAACACAAAAACGAGCGCCGAGAAAGGCAGCACCAACTCATTACATAACAATCCACATCAAGTAAAGCCTCAAAGATGTGTGCCTTGTGTAAAATGCTAATTAGAAAATGAACAAAAAGGCTCCAGTCTTATCCAATCTTTTGTCAAACTTCAAACGGGAAAACGAAGGTCAGTCTTCCTGACAGTCTGAGGTCAAAATCGGAGTCGATAACAATTTAATCCATCTTTTACCGTTTTCCCGATGTTTTCCCGCTCTTCTGCAGTTTGTCTCAGGCTCATTTGAGGATGGTCCGATTTCGTGATAATGAACACCAGCTTCTAATTCATGTCTCATGGAATTACACTAATTTCCTTTTTCCGTGTGTTGTTGCATCGTCTCTGGTACTGCACAATGATTTACATCTTGTAAGAAATGGCTGGAGTTTTCTGCATAATTAAGGACACACTGGTCTTCTAGGTCTATTCTCTCAGTGTATCACACAGTGTTCGTCGTTCACCATGAGAGTACCACTTAATGACCTGTTTGGGGTCCTCTATCAGCTTTTCTCTCACTGAAGCCAATTTAATTTCAAAGAAACAGTAAAGACATCTTAGTTCACCTTTTTGCCAAGAGATGAGTCATGGTGATTGATTCCCCTTTTAAAATCTGCTCAGTAAATAGAAATCTGAGCTCCACCTTGTAGCTGGTTTGGTTAGACAAGAAAAAGAAACACTGAATTTTTCCCACCAGACTCACTAATAGGGAGCCTAAGGCCTAGTCCACACGTAGCCGGGTATTTTTAAAACAAATACCCGCCCCTCCAAAAACTTGCATCCACACCACCTCGTTTAAAAAAAACTCTGTCCACACGTACCCGGATAAATACGTTGTTAAGGACATGCCAGACCTGTAGGCGGCAGTACTTCCCCCGTTCTTAACCTCGTCCTTCGTCTGTGGTCTTCCGCAAGGAGCAGTAATTCCACTTGCAAATACAAACAAGCAAAAAGCGCTTGGACAATTGATAAAGCGAGCGCAGCTCTGAGGGCATCCATGCTGTCGGCTAGTGTAAACACAGGTCGCACACGTGATGTCAGCATTTTTTGTCGCGGAAAGTGACGTTGTGGACCTTAAAACTCCGGTTTTGTCTGTCCACACGCAGACACCCAAAATGGAGAAAACGCAGATCTTCACTTTGGCCGGAGTTTTTAAAAAGATCCGTTTTCTTGTGAAAAAATTCAGTTTTCGTGTGGATGACAGGCCAAAACGTAGAAAAATATCTACGTTTTGGCAGATCCCCGGCTACGTGTGGACAGGGCCTAAGTCACGCCGATCTACTTCTGGACCATGGGTCTCCAACTGATCAAAAAATCAATGAGAGTCTATGAAAGGACAAAATGTATTTTCTGATCCAATTTGTGATGTGCCATGGATTTCACATTGAATGTTTGAGAATTTTAAAGGAACATTTTGATGCCAAGAAAGCGCTGGTCTAGGACAGGCAGCAGATGTTATTTTAGATTTTGCGTGTAAAGACGTAACGGATTACAAATGTTCGGCTCACCAAACCAAAGAGGAGATTAGCTTTGAATCTTTCTTCGAGAACGAACGAAGGAGCATTAAAGAGAAAACCACTATAAACCTGGCCTTGTGGAAAGAAGCAGCTATGCTGGGGAGAAAAGAATCTGTGGTGACATCATATATGCAACGTCTGACTTGTAGTCCATTTTTAATGAATTTTTACAAACTGATAAATAGCTTTTATAACCCCATTCACTTTCATTATTTATTCTTTATTCAGGGGACCCATGGAAGAGGAGACTTGGGCTCCCTATATTACTCTTGGGGTGCTGGAAAAGTGGATTGTGGGTAATACCCTTCACCCAAGTCTAGGGTGAAGTACGGATCAAAGGTTCAGAAGCGGCGTGATCAACTTCCGCACTTGAAAATCAGGACAACCTACACACTCGCACCCCTGGATAGGATTGCACAGTTGAAATGTGCAAGTGTGGAAGCGCGAGTACTGGGATTGGACTGGATTGGATTGCCCCCACCACCCACCCCCACCCCCACCACAACATGAAGCAGCTCGCTAGCATGCTAAGGTGCTGGATCCCCATTCCTCTCTCTCTTTCACTTACTCCCTCATTCACATAAACTCACTGATGTATTAATTCTATTTACTCTGAAAACATTATTGTTGTTGTTAACATGCAGACTAATGTGCATCATTGTGTAGCTGATTAAGCTCACTTGTCGGGGTTGAATCCCTCCATTTCCTCTAAAAAGATGTTGCTGTTTGTGACTGTGTTGTCTTGGTTTGGCATGATGAGAAACTTCAGGATGGTTCCTCTGCTGGATCCAAGGAAGACAACGGTGCGGTTTCTGTTGGGCCCAGCTTCTGTATCCACTACGATTTTATTCAGCTGGTACCTGAACCACAAGGGAGAGATGGAGCACAGCATTAATGTTACAAAGCTTTGCAGTTCATTGGGGACTTTCCATCTACGAAAGCTAAAAGCATTGTCAAGTAGTACCGGGAGGCCAGTTTATGATTCAAGTGCATTAAAACAAATTGGCTCAAATGAAACAATCAGACTCTCGGGAAGTTTAGTCAAAATATGTTTTCTTTCTCTGAAGTCACCACAAAAGGAAACAAACAAACTGCTGAAAAGTCTGCATAAAAAACAATTACACCAGACGTTTCAGTCATTAATAATACCAATCAAGTAAATGCTCCAGAACAACAGAAGAGTGAAATATGTGTCACTCACAAATGAAATCTAAGTAATAACCTGGTTATTGGACAGCAGATCTATAAGTAATGCAGCAGTAAAACAAAAGGCAGCAGTATCTTCATTGACATTTACTTTTTACTGCTTCAAGCTTCACCAGACTAAATCAGCATCAAGATTTGACTCAGCTCACCCATGTGTCCTTAAGCTGTTTTTACAGGACCATAGCGTTTGCAGAACGGGATTTGCCGCGGCTCCCTGGGGAGGATAAAGGTCATTTATAGGATCAGACCGTGGTAATAATGTGGCGCAATCGTGGCAATTTTATAAAAGATTAGGTGATGGCGGCATAAAGGGGGTATGGGGCTGTCTCTGCGCTGCCGCAGACTTCCGTTTATCTTGGACATAACTTGCTTTTTATTGCGATTGAAGCCGTGATCGTTAAGTTTTTATTTTTATTTTGCGGCATTCGTTCGTATTATTGCAGTAATGGTCTGTCGCATGCACCCTGGCGCAACAGAGGCAGATGTCATGATGACGTGGGGAGTTATTGCTGAGCTCCGGCTGGAAAAAATTGTTGAAAATGAAAGTAAACACAGGCAGTACGATTTGCTTTTTGAACAAAATCAGCTGAGATGGCAAACTGGAGTGCCGCAGCGCTCCATGAGCCTCTCTGTTAGAGCTGAAGCTCAGATCACCAGAGACTGCACAGGGACTGATGGGGACAGACACCTTTAGGAGCTGCTTGTTAAAAAAAACGTAACGATCACGGCTTGAATCACAAGGGCACCCCCAAGGGGTGGTCAGGGGTGGCCATGGCCACCCCTAGAAAAATGCTGGCCCCCCAGGAAAAGCCAGTGTTAACAAATCATATTAATGTTCAGTCAAACCATATATTAATCTTGTTTATTCAAGACATAATTGTAAAACAAAATAAAAATACTACAATTAATGAGTAAAGAAATAATCAGAATAAAAAAATAAACATATGTTTCTGCTGCTCACCATTTAAAAAAGTTTTTATCCCCATAGTTTTAATTTTTTTTATTTTTTGTGAACACAGCAACACAGGTGAATAAACCTAAAAAAATAACATTTTAAAATATATTTGGGGTAACATTTGAAATAACTGAAATTTATTTTTCTAAAATGTTTGCGTTTGTAAAATTTAAGTTAAATGTTTTGGATACGTACTGTTATTTTCATAAAAATGAATAAGGTGCAATGCAGCACATCGCCACAGGCCAAACTCTCCCAGTGTTAGCACAAGAACCAATTTGGTGTGCCACCCCAAAAATTCCTTTGGCCCCATCTGGCCACCCCTATCAAAATTTTCTGGAGGCGCCCTGTTCAATTGCAATAAAAAGCAAGTTATGTCCAAGATAAACGGAAGTCTGCGGCAGCGCAGAGACCGCCCCCATACCCCCTTTATGCCGCCATCACCTAATCTTTTATAAAATTGCCACGATTGCGCCACATTACTGCCACGGTCTGATCTTATAAACGACCTTAAGGGTCCCTGATGCCGCCACGGCGTTGCGGCATCAGGGACATTGACGGCATTGTTATGTAAAAAGGGCTATAGACATACCATTACGGTAATATTATGCCAATGTGCTGGCATGGTGTGTCTTGTAAAAAGGGCTTTAGAGGTGTGAGACATTTGTTGCAGTGGTCTCTGGTAGGAATGGATGCCTTGCAATAGGGCTGCTCAATTAATCGAATTTTAATCACGATTACGATCTGAGTTTTGAACGATTATAAAAAAAATAACAAGCCGATTATTTGCTCCTCCCGCTTGCGCTGCCCTGAGTTGCAAATGAAGCGCTCCTCCACAGTGTTGCTAATTTAGCGACTTTGACGCTATTTCTAGCAGCTTTTCAGACCCCCTTCTTGACTTTTTAATCCTAAAAGTACCTAGCGAACACCTGAGAAACATCTCTGGTGACCCTTAGCTACTTTCTGGATAACTGTCGTCGACATTTCCTGCAGGTTAGCTAAACACTCCGCCTGTGCTCCGGACCGTTCTTCACAACATTAGGAAAGGGAATGATGCAGTGATGTGTCGGTCGCTAAAGACAGCTCTCGGAGCCGGCTCCCTGTTGGATTAACCAGAGTGAGTGACACACACACCGCACCTTCGGACTCCTGAGCAGCTAAAAACAGCTAAATGTGCGCGTGCAGCGTGCTAAACACACGTGCAGCTTGCCCCGATTGCTGTGAGACCGGGGTGGGGGGGTGGGGGGTGCAGCTGTGGTCGGGACAATTATTACATTAACTGATGGGCCTGTAAATAAATAGTTTATAAATAAGGTAGAAATAAGTTCCTCACGCTGATAACTAATCTCTCTGAGGACACAGTCCTACAGCACCTTGACACGACTCAATAAATGTTATGCAACATTTTGTGAACATCAATTTATTTGCATTTATTTGTTATAAATGCCACTGTATAATTCTTGCTGTCAGTATTTGCAAGATATTGGTATTTGGTTCTGTACTGGTTAGACTCAAGGTCTATAGCCCTTGGGTCATAGACTATGAGCTATAAGTATATTGGTCTTTCTATACTGGGAATCAGGAGTTATTTTAGTGATCATCTTGTTTCTTATTTTTGTCCTGATTGTGCCCTGAGCAGTTTTATGACTGAATAAAAACAAATAAAATCAACATAAATTGAAAAATCGTCCTAAATAATCGTGATCTCAATTTCAGTCACCATAATCGTGATTATTATTTTTGCCATAATCGAGCAGCCCTACCTTGCAAGCCATACTCGGGGCAAAGAAAAGCCCAGAATTGCTTGGATCTACACGGACAAGCATGCTGCTACAGAAAGTGTCAGCAGACAGCAGGATTTAGAGTCTTATTTACTGATATTTGGCCACCTTGCCTTTGGTTGGATGACGGCAACGTGACTCGAATGTTTAATATCCACAAATAGGTCACTACTGACTTTGTCTGTAAAACAGCTATTGGTCTGCTCTGTGCACTATTCTCTTTGTCTGCAACACTTGTTGCTTTCTGTCTCATTTACACGCACTGAACTTGGCAAAAGAGCTTGTGTCCACTTTGCACCCTCAGCCTGGAAACAGCAGCAGGCAGACTGGATAATGAGTTAATTTCGTTGAGTGTTTGTAAATCTAAACTAAGAAATCTTGAGGCCAACTCCCCGACACGTAACTGTTTCATTTAGATTGCTTCTAACTTTTAAATGATGTTAACTATTCTTACTATATTTTGTGTTGTTTTAGCTGTGTAACATATTTTCTGTAACTTTGTGTGATGCTTGCCGCCGCCCATCTTGACCAAGTCTGCCTAGAAAAAGGTTTTTAATCACAATGGGATTTTCTATCTGGCTAAATAAAGTTTATATAAAATAAAAAAAAATAAAAAACACAAGCCTGGAGGGGTTTTTCTGTGTGGTGGTTGCTAATGCTAACAGTTAGCTTTTACTTGGGACATTTTCTGCTGATTCCTGGACGCTAAACCAACAACAGCCTTTCCCGTCGTGAGTCAAGATGGGTGAGTCCATGAATGTTATGTGACAGACAGTGTGACGTAGATCTGTCAGGATTTTCAAATCCTAGAGTTTCACCGTCTATTTTCTATCAGAAGCTAATGCAGGAGATAGGTGTAGGAGACCATTTTCACATTCAGCCTGGATGAAAAACTCAGAGTGACTGATTATAATCAGAAATAATCATTTAAAATGTTTTTTTTTATTCAGAGAACTACTCCTTTAAACATCAGTGCATGCAATGGTGATTTCTATGCAGACAAACATGGTGCAGGAACTCCATTTATACTTATATAAAACATTTATCCATCCAATTTTCAACCCTCATTGTAAGTTGGATTTTGGGGGTTGCAGAGAAACCTCCACTCTTCCTGGGGATTTCATAATGTTCCCAGGCATGTTCTTGATCTGTCCTTGGGTGTCCTCTCATTTTGACATTCTCTAAAAAACTCAAGAGGCCGATGACTAGGAGGCATCCTCACCAGCTGTTAAAGGAAGCAGTGGTTCTACTTTGAGCTCCCCTCCAAGATGATGGAGCCCTTCGCCAGGTCTCTAATGCAGAATCTGGCCACCAGAGGAAGCTCATTTCAGCAACTCATATGTCTGATTTCATTATTTTAGTCATAATTCACATCTCCTGACCATATAGTTCTGGAGTGTGGATGAACCAGAAGAGCTCTCAGCACCTCCCTCAACACCCTCATCACCAACGATGAGTCTTACCTGACCATGGTTCTGACTATCCAGGGCCGTTGTCCAAGCGATGGCACTGCTTCATCCATCAGGGGATGTGTCTTGACAAAATTTAACATCTCGTCAGGGAATGAGTTGGAGGAATTGAACTTGGATCCTTGGACTGCGCAGCCACCAGGTCTGGAAGCAACAAGAGTGAGTTTGTCAGAAAAGGAGATCAGGATTTTTCTGACACTAAGCTGCAGGAAGGATATATTATTAAAAGAGTTGGTTTAGCCTGTCAGAGTGACTCACATCCACACAAAAATCCTCCTTTTAAGCTCCTTAACTTTAAACTAAGTCTTCTTTCACATGGTTGCTAACACAAACACAATTATAACCAAGAAGAACATTTACTTTAATAAAACAAGTGTGTTGCATTTGCTATCCAAATGACTGAAATAAACCACATAAGAACTCTGAAGCAGGATCATGTTTCACAACACCGTTCTTTAAGCCAATCTCTTTGACAACAGTCTGAACACAGGTGGGTGAATTGAATAGTGCCATCTGCACCTTGGCTTTGGGATGAGCTCATCTGGAACAGGTGTCCAAATAGACTCTGGTGATTTCTGCTCCTTAAACCTTCCATCAAACACAGCAGCCAGCTGCTCCATGTCAAAGGCGCACACGGCCGAGCCGGGTATGCTGCGGAGACGGAGACGGGACAGTGAGACGCGGCCGGTGGGGCAGAAGGAGACAGATAAAACAGTCTGAACTCATACAAAGTGACTGTCAGTCCTGTGTCAGGCAGGCTTTACTTTCCAACAGAGTTTAATGAGGAAAAAGGGACAGAAATAAAGCAGATATGGAGGATTTTGTACCAGAGCTAAAAGGAAACTAGACGAAACTTAAAAACGTGAAGTATAACAAGTCAGTTGTGAGTGCGGCAAACGGATAGACACCCAGCAATGATGACAGAGTGAAGAGAAGCTCTTCACAGTTTGGCACCTGGAACCAGAACACAAAGCAAGCTGTAGGTGAGATGGATAGACACAGGTGGAAAAGTAAACGTCATCAGCCCTGGGTCACAGTGTAGATGTGCAGCGGTGCCAACAGCTACATCAGGTTTCTAAAGAAGATGCTGGCTTAAATTCCAGGAATGTAAAACAAAATAGGAAATGAATCAGTTCTGTTTCTCACTAAAATGGGAGGGAAGCGGGTGTGGGAAGCCCGAGTAAACCTTCCAGGAAAAAGCTTGGTGCACCTCGGAGACTGTTTGACCACCGTGAACCCGACGGCGGGGGAGCAGAGCATCTTCTCTGAGAAGTGTCCAGTGAGTCACACACACACACACACACACACACACACACAAACACACACACACACACACACACACACACACACACACACACACACACACACACACACACACACACACACACACACACACGCGCACACATGCACACATAAACACAATAGGATTCTAAAAACAAACACACATGCATCTGTGCAGTCAGAGTGTCTTCTCTGAGCTCGATGCTACATTTTTGTGTTTGGCTGCAGAAATGAAACAGTACAAAGTGAGAAATGAAGAGAGGGGTGTCGGGAGCAGATAAGAAATGACTTTAAAGAAAAACGCACACATGCGTGCATTCCCAAGCTCTCTGCTTCCAGACTCCACGCTCCGCTCTCAAAGTGTCCTTATCAGTGACTAATTATATACATAAAACTAAAAAAGAACAAAAAGACTGAGTCACCTGTGATCCACCACATAAATCCCACACAAACCCAAACTCTTTTTGTTTAAGAAGAAACCTTCATAGTGATTTGAGTGTCTGTGCAGCTTGCTATGGGGAGTCTGCATCGAACTGAGAAGCGTTCGCGTCGAGAGCACCCTTTGAAAGCAGCAGAAGAGAGTGGAACGGTGCCTTTAGGCTGGATTTTGGCTGCAACGGGGAGCCGCGCTTTCTCGATGTGCCATCTGATCAGGCCAGGCCCGTTTTCCTCCGTACTTTACAGGCAGCAAAGTGACTCAAGGCCTTCCCAGATCTGTGACTGCGGACAAAGCAAAGCCTCTGTGAGGGCCGTAGGTACCAGATGTTATGTATGACACATCTGCCAGCTCTGCATCGCCGCCAGTGTTCTCCAGCTCTGCATCCTGCTATCAGTGTTCCTGCAGGTCACTGGGTTTGCTCCGCACACCACTCTGTGTCTAAAGGAAGAAAACCAAAATGCCTCGGGCTGTTTTCTCTCAAAATAGTTTTTATTATTCACATTTTTATTCGGTGTCGGTTTCTGCTACTTGAGGTTTTTTTTTTTTGTCTCTGCTCATTTTGTTGTACACAAAAATTCAGATACCCACTTGTAATTCCCGTTGTTTACTTTTTCTCCAACACTTGCTGTGGGTTCTAAGTCACAAGGTGTCCAGACAGGATGCACATGGTGTTTATATGAGATTTGATTTCTAAATATCTCACCGAGGGCAAGAATAGTTGGTGGGAGTTTGGAGCAGTTCTCTAATCCAGGACCCAAATCCTCTAAGGTTATGCAGGCTAAAACTGTTAAACATTCCTCAGTAATCTAAAAAAATAAAGATCTATTGTGTGAATGAACTCAAATAAGCTGACATCTGCAGGAATGTCTTCTAAACAGTCTCAGCAGAGCGCCGCGGTAGCTTGCTGTATGTTTTTCTACATAATTTCTGGAGCTTTAAGAGCTTCCCAGAGGTTTTCTTTATTTTATTTTTAGCCTAGTCAAACTAATGGTTTTCCTGCCAAGGAGGAATAAGTGCTGCTGTGGCCACGGCATGCACCAACAACCTAAATTCACATTAATTTGAAATTTATTTTATTAGCTTCAAGTGGAATTTGAAAGATTTGAGGAAAATACATAATATTTGTTGTCAGTATTTTAAATAAGAGGCTAAAACCATTTAGAGGAAAGCAAATTGGGACTCTGGCTTCATTTAAAGCTAGCATGTGGATATCATTTGTTTTAGATGCACGTGGCCGTGAGGTAGAGAATTCTCCTCGTTTATAAACACATTCAGATTTGGCACAGTTTTACATTTTATTGCACCTTTAAACTTCTGCTTTCCCTTTTCAACCTTCATCATTATTCCAGTTTCTTTTTACTGACTAGTTTCTCTCAAAAGCATCTTATTTCATCTCATTTCTTCTCTTTGAACAGCTGAGTTACCTACTTCCACTTGACCTTTGCACAAAACCCCTGTAGTTTTTTTCTTGTTCTTTCTGACTTGACTACAGATACTTAGGAGTTAAAATCGAAGTCTTATAACATGTCTGCTGTCATCTACATGGAGTTGTACTTCCTCATACCTCTTCCCCCTCACTAGTAAGTGACCTTATTATGTATTCTGTTGCATAGAGCCTGCAGGCCCAAGGGGTCTGTCTTGCACATCTGTGCATCCTCCCTTCTGTGCCACAGTTCTCCAGTCATCCTTAACCTGCTCTCCTCCTGCTTCTCGTCGCTGCTGCGTTTCCCCCAGAGGAATACCCAGCTGTCCAACAGAATTCCCTGCAACAAAACCCAAACCTGCCCTTTTGCTCTGCATTTTTCCTGACGGTGCAGGACATTATACAGCTTTGTCACATCTAAACATTTAAACTGACAAAATAATGTATCACCAATAAACGGAGGAGACACTGGCTAGCCCTTTTGCATGCTGCAACAATCTTGTTGTTCTGCTGGTCTCCTGTTAGCATTCTCCTTCTCACAACCGCTTAGGAAGCATGGTGTGAGGAATTCCAGAAATGCAGTTGAGGAGCCGGTATGTGGCTGTAAAATTACCCCTGGAGTATGTGGGCACAGGAGGAGACGAATAACTTCAGAATATCAAGGAAAGAGACAATAAATCCTGGACTTCATCTCATCCCTCCCGTACCACAGGCTGGTTTACATTGCACAGGGCCAAGTGGCAGGCGCGAACAGCTATTACCTCGCTCCAAGGTCTTACTGCATGCTGGTTTCGCTGCACGCTGCCAGCCAAAGTAATTTGTCTGGCAAGCACTCTGCCAGTGTGGTGTAGTGGGCTTGCTACACGAGGCCGGTGGGAGTTTCACACCTCACCTCACACATTCTCTCCATTGCTTTGCATCCAACTCCCTCCACTGCATGTCTTTACATCTAAACTTCTACCTTCCTTTGTTTTGGCTGATAGATGTTTAAAACAGGGCCCAGTAACAGGTTGTGGACGAGAGTCTGTGTGTGATCAGTTGCTTTTATCTGGAAGCTTTTGTAAGTTGTGTGTTTCACCGGAGCATCTGTGTGTCTGCAGACGACGGACTCCCTGTCGGAGTGCATCCCACTAAACACGTGGGTAAGATGCAGCTGATAAAACCATTTTGAGGAGCGGCGGGACGCACATGTTGTCCATTACTGACTTTGTCCTTGTTTTTCCATACTCCTCCTCCCATCTTGTCCTCCACTCCCCTATGTATTTCCATCTCTGGCTGTTCTTCTTTCACTTTTAATTGTTATATTGTTTCCTTCCTTCTCTCTGTTACAGGGTGGTCTAACTCCAACTAGGAAGACCTGCTGCGGTGCTGCCGGTGCAGACCTTTAATTGTTTATTTAAAACACACCCAGGCTTTAAAGTGCAGATATAGTTACAATCTACTTAAAACTTGATTTTTCTCAATATTTGCCTCTAAAGCAGCAATACATTGTGAATTCATGTTAAAACATTTTATCTTCAGGTATTTGTGTTGCCGATGTTTGACCAAATGATTACAAACCAAAGATCTTGTTTATTTTTACATAAGTTCAATATAAACACAATATGAACTAGGGTTCAATTCAATTCAATTCAAGCTTATTTATATAGCGCCAAATCACGAAGAGTCGTCTCAAGGTTGGGAATCGAAAAGCATTTTTTGTTGAGAACCGGTTCCCATTGGTTTAATTCAGTTCTTAGGAACCGTTCGCCACTTTTGCAAATGATCCCCCTTATCAATTCTGGTTGCCACAGCAACACCGCACTGAACAAGCAGATGACTCTGCCTTCACAGGGAGCATAAAGGAGAACATCTGGAAAGATATTTCCCACTGATAAAGGTGCAACTGATTATTTATAATAAAGAAACAGACAGTTGTATTGCAGGAGCCGTGTGCAGTTAGTTTTCTGCCACCTGTTTTACTACTCTGGAATTGATAAGAAATTGGATCAATTGACAGAATCGACAACGCCATTGATGTGGATAAAACGCATCAATTCCCACCACTAATTTGACTGTAGAAGGGTAGAATGCCTTTTCCAGGTCAGGGAGGAGGTCCTGCCTCAAGGAGTTAAAAGTATCTCGGGGTCTTGTTCACAAGTGAGGGAACGTTGGAGTGTGAGATCAATAGACAGATTGGTGCTGCATCTGCAGTGATGCGGGCATTGCGCCGGTCTGTCGTGGTGAAGAGAGAGCTGAGTCAGAAGGCAAAGCTCTTGATTTACCGGTCGATCTACGTTCCTACCCTCACCTATGGTCATGAGCTGTGGGTAGTGACTGAAAGTACGCGATTGTGGATACCAACGGTGGAAATTAGTTTTCTCCGCATGTTGTCTGGTCTCTCCCTTAGTGATAGGATGTTCATCCGTAAGAGGCTCGGAGTTGACCCACTGCTTCTCCTTGTCGAGAGGAGCCACTTGAGGTGGCTCGAGCATCTGGTAAGGAAGCCTCCTGGACACCTCCCTGGTGAGGTTTTCCGGGCCCGTCCAACCGGGAGAAGACCTATAGGAAGTCCCAGTACATGCTGGAGGAACTATGTCTTTCGGCTGGCCAGGGAACAATTTAGGATTCCCCCAGAGGAGCTGGTCCAAGGACCTGGGAAGAGGGAAGTCTGGGTCTCTCTGCTCAGGCTGCTGCCCCCGCAACCTGACGCCGGATAAGCGGATGATAATGGACGGACGGACGGACGGATGGATGGATGGATGGATGGATGGATGGATGGATGGATGGACGGACGGAAGAACAAATAATTACTGCACAGTAGAAATTAACATGTCACTGCCCTAATGTTCTGAGTTTGTGTAAAAAATACTTTGTTCTAACTTTGTTAAACTAATTAAAATCCCCAGGCCATACTTACTTCTGTGATCGTTTGCATTTTAATGAAGCAAAAGAATTGTTTGTTATTGTTTAAACTTGGAAATCTATTTGAGTCAAATTAAACAAGTTTTGTGAACTTTTTACTCGACTTAAGTCGTTTGACTAGTTTAACTGATTGATTGGCTCGGGGGTACTTAACTGAGATTTGATTAAATTTGTCTTGTGATTCAAATCAAATTTATAAAACAATTACATTTAAACTCTTTACTTAAAGCCAACATTTCTATTTCTGTGTGATTAATTTGGCCTGTTTGCTTTGGTAGAGTTTTTGTGCTGCCTTTAACTCATCTCAATAACCGTTCTTCTTTCTACAGAAACAGTTATGTGTGTGAAAACCGTTACAGGTGCAACCGAAATATGAGTGGGGTGCAGCTTTAAATGGGAGGGAGCAGGGGCGGCGTTAGGCCCGGCTACTTGGGCTGAAGCCCCGGATGTTTTATGAAAAGTCCCGGATCTAAATCGCGGAAGTAACATGCAGTACCAAAGTCCAACAGAGAGGGAGCAGCTGGCAGTAGTTTGTATACAGCCTGCCTGAGCCTCCACCACTGAAGAAGAAGCCCTTCAGCAGCCGGCTTCTTCTACACTCTCTGCCTGAAACGCATGAGTGAAGATGGACATAAGGACGTTTTTTAGACAAAAAGTACAACGACAGAACCCCAGCTTTGATGAGACTGGTGTTGACTCAGGTTTGTGAGTCTCATTAGAAAATATTTGTTGTTGCTGGTTTGCCTAAAGTTAGCTTACTATCAGGTAAAGTTGTTGGAGAAAGAACGGGAATATTTACTATCATCTCACACTAAACACTCACAGGAACAATACTCTGCCCTGAATGTGCTTAATATGTAGCTTCAGATTAAAAATTATGTGGTAAGAGACAAATATGATGTTGACTAGTGCGTGTCACTTTTATGCGCGCGCGCGAGTGCGCACGCATGCGTGCGCGTGTGTGTGTGTGCGCGCGTGTGTGTGTGTTAAGCCCCGGATCTTCTTCAGTCCTAAATCCGCCCCTGGGAGGGAGAGAGCATGGAAACAACAATTTTACCTGATTCAATGTTGAAATGAAATACTAAGTCAGGCAATGAATTTCCTTTACATCCACTGTAATATATTAAATTATTTCATCCCAATACTTTTTATCAACGTGTGTCAGAATAACAATCAAAAACATTTTACAGTGTGACTGTTTGGAAGAGGGATGTGAGAAAATAAATGTGTTTAAAAACAACAGAGAATTCTTTGTGAATTCAGTCATCAGCACCTCTTTAATTAAAGCACAAAAGCTTTGGAATACTTCTTAGAAATTGTGCATTAACAAATCCACTCTTCCGTCTTCAGCCATTCAAACCCCTTGGTTTGATGCAATTTTGTCTCTTAATAGATAAATTTGGAATTTTTTGCTTCAAAGAACTCTTTCTAACAGTCATTTCAACTCAGTAGTCTCCGCCTCATCCATGTTTTGACAGAAGAGACAAACTTTGGTATTTCAATGAATGTCTAAAGTTGGGTCCACACTGGTGTTATCAGCGGTGCAGAACAGCAGAACGTCGCTGCTTCAAACAACAATCCATTATATTATATAGCAGGGGTGCTCAAATACATGTGTTCATGGGCCGGAGATTTCCAGCAGACACCCAGAAGGCCAGATAAAATAAAGTTATTGTATCTTAATTTAATAATATTTAAAATGGCCTGTTTTTTAAATCTAAACTGTATTGATTTAAGCTATTGATTATTGGTATTCGGGACATGCATTTTGCTGCTAAACTTCAAAGTCCCCCAGTTGGGGTGGCCCTCACCCTAACCCATTTCAAAATAAAAGACTCCTTTTCTATGTAGATCAGAGTTTCTCAACCCTGGTCCTCAGTGCCCCCCTGTACTGCACATTTTCAATGTCTCTGCTTCAGGCACACCTGATTTACATATTTGAACAGCCTCCTCAGGAGAACATCAGGTGCTGCAGAAGCCTGTTAATCAGTCATTAATTTAAGGCCTAGTCCACACGTAGCCAGGTTTTTTTTAAAAACGAATATCCGCCCCTCCAAAAACTTGCATCCACACCACCTCGTTTAAAAAAAAACTCTGTCCACACGTACCCGGATAAATACGTTGTTAAGGACATGCCAGACCTGTAGGCGGCAGTACTTCCCCCGTTCTTAACCTCGTCCTTCGTCTGTGGTCTTCCGCAAGGAGCAGTAATTCCGCTTGCAAAAACAAACAAGCAAAAAGCGCTTGGACAATTGATAAAGCGAGCGCAGCTCTGAGGGCATCCATGCTGTCGGCTAGTGTAAACACAGGTCGCACACGTGATGTCAGCATTTTTTTGTCGTGGAAAGTGACGTTGCGGACCTTAAAACTCCGGTTTTGTCTGTCCACACGCAGACACCCAAAACGGAGAAAACGCAGATCTTCACTTTGGCCGGAGATTTTAAAAAGATCCGTTTTGGTGTGAAAAAACTCCGTTTTCGTGTGGATGACAGGCCAAAATGTAGAAAAATATCTACGTTTTGGCAGACCCCCGGCTACGTGTGGACAGGGCCTGAGTCGAGTGTTTGGCAGCAGAGAAACACTAGTGTTTGAAAGGGCAACATGGAAAACATGTAGGACAGGTGGTGCCGAGGACCAGGGTTGAAAAACCCTGATGTGGATTGTACATGTGACCTAACAGCTTATTTGCTCCCAGAAAAGTGCAACATTGTGTGTTTTTCATGGCTTTAATCCTGGCAAAAGAGAGGAACAGCATTGTATATGACATCAAACTGTGATATCAAACCTGATCTCCTTCTTCCACTTCTTTGTTTAATGCGTAAATAGAATGTGGCCTTTGAAGTCTCAAAGGATTTTGTGATCTCATGAGTCCAGCAAGGACATTAGAGATGCCACTCCGCAGTTGAGACTCCCTTGGTGTGGATTGACGAGCTGTGAAGCACATCAGTAAACTGTCTCGCTGCTGTTCCTAGGGATGGGTACCGAATTCGGTACTTTTTAAGGTACCGAATTCGGTACTTTTTAAGGTATCGACCGAATTCCATAGTATCGACCGAGCATCGATTCACGTCATTTCAAACGGTGCCTCATTTCGGTACCCGTCCTTCATAACGAGAACTTGCCTAGACAGCTACGCATGTGCAAGAGCGTTATGTCGTCGGTCGCTGCGAGCGAGTTGTAAACAGCAGCATGGTAGAAAGAACGAACGCTAACGCTTGGGTCCACTTCACTAAATGTGATGGGTAACTGGGTGATGATGAAACTAGCGACAACGATCTAAGTGAGACATCCTCATCTTAATCTGCTCCGGTAGGTAAATATAATTAGCTTGATATGTTAGCTTCCGTTTCGCTAATGGTGCGTTCGCTTTCTCCTCGGAACTCCGACTTCCCGACTAGAAGAAAGCGCTCTAAAGTTTGGCTTCACTTTACTAAATGTGACGGGTGAAGATGAAACCAGTGACAATGATCTAAGTGTGAGGCATCATCGTTTAAATCTGCTCCAGCAGCTAAATAAACTGTTTAAGATAACGTTAGCTTGGTCTGTTAGCTTCCATTGCTACCGTTGTTATCAGCTAATGGTGCGTTCGCTTTCTCCTCAGAAATTCTAACTTCCCAGTAGGAAAAATCAAATGAAAAAAGACGGCAAAAGGAATGAAGATACACAGTAAATTTAGTTCACAGTAAAGATGTTTGCTTCAGTTTAATTATCAGCTTATAAAACTACAAGGACGATGTTAAAATACAAACAGTTGTATGTTTTTTATCGTGCTATTTATCAAATATTGTTATATATTGAGAAAAATATATATTTAATTATAAAAGAGAATTAAAATAATAAACACTCAAAAGTATCAAAAATTGGTACCGTTAAGTAACGGTATCGATTCGTAGGTACCGGGAATTAGTACCGGATCGATTCAAATGTCAAAGGTACCCATACCTAGATGCCTCCAGTATAGACCCGGGTCCCGGGGTAAACGCATGACGTGTTAAACCAGCAGTTTCTCAGCAGCCACTACAACATAACTCATTTAGATAGGAAAGCAGGTCGGAGACGGCACAGACCTTTTGGTATGCAACATTCTAGTGACACGTTGAGTCATTATAAGAGCATGACAGAGGATTGGTTACTGGAAATAGTAAAAGCATCAATCATAATTTTTAGGTTCATCCACATCTCAAAGAACTCCAGAAGTGTTCTAGTGTGATTTTTAAAACGTTTATATTTCCTATATGACTGAGTCATGAAAAACACATCTGAAAGAACTTATGTCTTGTACCTGTTAGGCGGTGTGGAGAACACGCCCAGGATGATGTCCCTGCCATGCATCCTGATGATGGGGCTGGTGGAGTGCAGCAGGTTGAAGTAAAAGTGGGAATCACCGGGTATGGAGCAGTTGAGCCGGGCCTTCAGGAATGACGTCCACTGCTTCTCCAGGACGCGCTGCGATCCTCCTTGGTCACGTTTGCAAACACGGGCCACACGCGACACCACCACCTGTCAATGAGTGTGCACAAAATGTGTTTCAGTCACACAGATCTGCAGCAAATAGATGCTGTGTTTAGTGCAGCACACGTTGAACCCTAATGATAAGCCGAGGAAGTTGAATAATATATTTTGACATTTGGGTTTTATCTTCAAAAGACGAATAAATTCAAAGGCTCTTTTCAACTGCAGGGTGAGGAGTCATTTGCATGCTATTTGCAACGTGGAGGCCCTGTTTGACAGATCATTGTTGTATAATAGTAAATTCTGTATCAATTATTCATGAAAATGTCAGTGAATCTCAAAATGGCTTCTTTGAACACACAATGGTGATGCTGTTTAAGTATCCATTTCCTCTGCTGACTGTAAACACGCCAGAAACCTTCTGCCAGCACCAAAATGATTTACAATATATTTTAATATATTTTAGAATGAACTAATCTGCTTCTTTCCACTAACAAAATCAGTTCCACAGGTATCAGCTGTGGTATGAGAGGAAATTATAGCCTACTGATTGGTCACAGGGGGAAAGCAGATGTGAGCTGTTGGTTTTGTTCTTGGATTTTGATTATTTGGACACACAAACAGAAAAATAAGAGGTCATTCAAGCTGCAGGGAAAAGGAGTTGGAATTCTAATTTAAATAATAGTTCTCATTCAGCATCAAGGCTGCCCTTTGACAACACATTCATACATTCAGTGGTCCTTTCAAAACACGTGTTGAATGGGCCGCTTGCTCCTCTGTATGAATACCGAGAGTTTGGAAGAAAAGGAGGATATACATTTTCACAACAATTACTTTTTATACCTTCTCCAAATAGTTGAACTCCATGGCTATCTCTCTGAAGAAGAAATAGATGTGAGGTCCCCATTCCACAGCACTAACAAAATATGGCTCTGTGTAGAAAGAGAGGAGGGGGAATAGAAGGGTGTAGAGGGAAACGTTTAATTGAATCCAAACAGAACATATGTGACCAAAAGCATCCCCATTCATGGAAGGGCCTTTCATTCCCACAATGCTTTTAACATAAGGGCAGGCACACAGAGGCACAAGCCAGGCTTAATTTCATTACATGGTCAAAGGAGATTTCACAGCAAATAAGATGTGATTTATGACTGCTTGACGTTTCTGAGAAATGATTTTCATGCTGTAATTTACACGGCATTCCATCCAGGATCTCCCGCGTCCTGTGTGAACAGGAACCTTGAACATTGTCTAGGGTCTGGAGCGGAGCGGTACGTTTCTAACAGCAGTCTGAACATGAAGCCTGGGGGGTCAGGTCTCTGCTACTGTCACACGTTTCAAACCTGCATGCTGCCAGGGGCGTGTCCAGGGAGTGGCCTGGGGTAGCACATGCCACCCTTGGAATCTGATTGGCCACCCCCAGGTGCCACCACACTAATTTCCCTTTAAATAGGCTTTTCATTGTCTACAAAAGGCTTGAGGGTAAAACAAAAAAGCATAACCATTGTTGCCACCCATGCACAAAGTTGTGCCTCACCTGGGCCACCCCATTTTAATAGATCTAGACACGCCACTGCATGCTGCTAATAATCAGGGAAATGCACTCAAACCTGACAACACGGAGAGCAGGCAGGATTCGGAATAAAAGAAAATGTTGCGTGAAGCAGCCCTCTTTAAGAAGCACATGCATTCACATTGGTGTGTGTTGGTACCTCTGAACCACTTGGAGTCGTGCTTGACGGTACGCAGAGCGGGAATGTCCCCAAGGCTTCGATAAATCACAGCATCGATGGCCAGGAAGTCTGTCACTGTGGCTGTAAACAGATTCCCCTCTAAAACATACACACACACACACACACACACACACACACACACACATACACACGTGAACCGACTGTTACGTACAACATGACATGCAGAGCTTCACGCACCCCTGGTCAACATTCCTTCTGATAGTAAACATGATTTGAATTCAGGTGAAGAAATATCTGAATTTTAGAATTATGTATCAAAAACTTTTGTGTTTATTAAATGTTTTACTCTTTTCCATTAAAAAGTTTGAGTTTCATTTTGCTCTACAGTCTGGCACACACAGCTCATGAGTTGTGGCAAACACGTTATCAATGATAAACCACCCGCCCTTGTACGGCGCCTTCCAGAGTCCGAGGTCTCCAGAACACTTTACACTACAGTGCATCATTCATCCATTCACACTGATGGTGATGAGCTACTATGTAACCACAGCCAGGGGCGGCGTTAGGCCCGGCTACATGGGCTGAAGCCCCGGATGTTTCATGAAAAGTCCCGGATCTAAATCGCAGAAGTAACATGCAGCACCAAAGTCCAACAGAGAGAGAGCAGCTGGCAGTAGTTTGTATACAGCCTGCCTGAGCCTCCACCACTGAAGAAGAAGCCCTTCAGCAGCCGGCTTCTTCTACAGTCTCTGCCTGAAACGCATGAGTGAAGATGGACATAAGGACGATTTTTAGACCAAAAGTACAACGACAGAACCCCAGCTTTGATGAGACTGGTGTTGACTCAGGTTTGTGAGTCTTATTTGAAAATATTTGTTGTGCTGCTGGTTTGCCTAAAGTTAGCTTACTATCAGGTAACGTTGTTGGAGAAAGAAAGGGAATATTTACTATCATCTCACACTAAACACTAACAGGAACAATACTCTGCCCTGAATGTGCTTAATATGTAGCTTCAGATTAAAAATTGTGTGGTACAAGACAAACATATATGATGTTGACTAGTGCGTGTCACGTGTGCGCGTGCATGTGTGTGTTAAGCCCCGGATCTTCTTCAGTCCTAAATCCGCCCCTGACCACAGCTGCCCTGGAGCGCACTGACAGAGGTGAGGCTGGCGAACACTGATGCTACTGGTCCCTCTGACCACCACCAACAGGTACAGAGGGTTAGGTGTCTTGCCCAAGGACACAACAGCAGCATTCTCTGCCAGGAGCCAGGATCAAGCACACAACCTTCAGCTTACTGGACAACCCGCTCTACCCCTGAGCAACAGCTGTCCTTAAGTTAAATCAGACTTTGTTTGTGTGCCTCTTATTTAGCTAATGATGTTATTGATCAAAATGATCCAAGTATCAGGCTTTGTATAAATCATTAACAAGTAAAGAAATAAATGTAACTGTGCAAGCAGCTCGGCATTACGGACTTGGGGATATTTCTGGAGGAAAATGTCAGGTTTTTGTTTTTTTTAACAAGAAAATATCCAGGTAGTTCCAGAAAATACTTGGATTCATCCAGACTTTAACTCGGCTGCTTTCAGTCCCGATGATTGATCTAATGGCTTTATTGACAAAAAAAAACCTGAGTCTGCTGTGTAAACATCTCACAGCAGCTTTCTTTGTGAGTGAGAATGGTTTTAATCTTTAGCGAAGCAGAGGAGCCTTGACTGGTAGAAGCTGAGACAAGGTTTCAAGAGTCAGAGTACAGACAACAAAAGGATGAAAGTTTTAAAACCTGGCCTTTGCTGACTCAAACAGGTCTGAAACACTTTAAGAGCCTGAATCTCTTGGTGTGATTAAACTTTGACGGGTGTTTTTTTTTTCTTTTCTCATCTACCTTTAAAACATTTTAATTGAAAAATTAAAAACTGTGATTATTATTAAGTTGTTAAAACCTAATTATTTAACTGCAGGATGCCCAAAACATATGCATAACCACAATCAGTAATGTGAACTATTAATTCATCATAAATCTGTTTGTTTACCTGATCAAAAAAATTGGTTGCAGCAATTTTTTTATGAAAACGCAAACAAACAGAAAACGCGTCGAATGAGCAGAGGCGGCTCCCTACGATTTAATCAACAGAACGCTGATAAATATTTTATCAGTCAAGTGTTTATGGCAGATAAAGTAAACAAGAGGAAGCTGGAAAAAGCTCTAATTGATTGAAAGCATGATTCTTCTATATTTTTCACCCACGTGCACGATTTGAATTGTGCAACAGACAAAAACAGAGTGAGAGTCTCACCTGCAAACACGGCTACATTGGCGTGTTTGGGATCATAAGGGCATCTCGCCATCCCGCTGACCGGGTCCCCTACCATCTCCAGAGTGTCGCCCTGTGATATCACACACACACACACACACACACACACACACACACACACACACACACACACACACACACACACACACACACACACACACACACACACGCACGCACACAGAAACAGGCTTCAATCATATGCTGCAACAATATGAATGCATCTGCAGCAGCATGAAAACAAGCCACAGGAGAATGGCAATTAGAGAGTGTTACTGGAAGTGCAAACTAATGATTCACTGGTGGCAATTAGGCTCAGCAGAAGCAACAGGAGAGTCACATTCTCAGACATAAATAAGACAGACACAGAAACACACATATGCAGACTCGGGGCTACACCCACATCAAGCCTTGTTAATAATTCACACAAGTCTGCAGCTTGTCTTTACACCCTTCCATCTTTAAATCAGTGTCTTCTTCTTGCCAAATAACACACACACACACACATACATATAGTTTAAAAGGTGGCCACAAGTCTCCAGCAACCACTCAACTATTTTCAGAAAGCAGATGAACTTCTGGTTCCTGCTCACTATCTGTAATTGAAATGGTCTAAAAGTGTAATTTCATTAAAAACTAGCTATAAATACAAGAGGGGCTTGCATCACTAACTCGTCTCCAGAGAAACAGGCAGCCAATCAGGCTGCAGAGACAGGTGTCCTATGCATGGATCTAAGATGTCATCAGTGGCTGACAGATAATGGGCCAAGCTTGTTTCCCTAAAAGTAAGGAAGTGACCCCCCCCCCCTTTCCCGGCCACACACTGCGCGTGCACACACACACACACACACACACACACGCACACACACACCACTGTTTTCCCCTCTGCCTGCATTCCTAAAATATGTCTGCAGAATGATGGGAAATCAGCAGAAGCGAGTATTAATATTTATGTGTAGCTTTTCTTCTGCGAATTTTGAAATTGTTATTG